CGTCAAAAAAAAAAAAATTGTGATCGAAAATTGCTACCGAAATCCTTCTATGACTAACATAAATCTAAACGGTGACACATTACTTGTATTTCCAAAACCTTCACTCTCCCTTTCATCTCAAAAACTTACATAAAAGGGATCTTAGTTATTACTTTTCCATAAGAAATTGTTACTGATGAAATAGTATTTATCAATATTTTTTTATTTGAGCGTAAGTCTATAATAATCATGAGCCTAATCATTAAATCCATATCCAATGCCTGTTGAATTATGCTGCATACTCATGTTTGATATGCGTATTTTTGTATTTACCTCAATTAAAACAGTACTTTCCAACTTAAGATTAAATTTTAAAGTAATTGGTTTGAAGTTTAGGTTTAGTTCTAGATCTAGTAAAGTAATTTTAAATTTAAATTCTAAAATTACATGAATATCAATTTGATTAAATTCATTTCATACAAACATTAGTTTAACTAAATAAGTAATTATATCATTAAAACAACTTCATTGTAAAGTAAACTCAATAACTTATGAAATGAATATTTATATTCATAGAGTGATTCATATTTTGATTACATCCATGAATTAGATCTTTAAAAAATAAAATATTTTTTTGATATTTTTATTTTGTTTATGGAATTGAAACTACAAGTTTATTGATTATAAAGAAACTTGACAATCACCTATAGAGTTATCGTCTATAAACTATCATATATGAATTATTGCCTATTAATTTCAGGTTTGAAAGATTATGAGAATTTCATAAAACTGTATTGCAGTGATTTGAGTTTGAGTTGTTATTGATTATTATTACTTGTAATTTGTTTTATATAATTAATTGTATGATACTTCCATTAATTGTTTGTCAACTAAAAAGGGTATTTTTTTTATGTATTCAATGACATTTATTAAAAGATTTTTTTTTTTATGGAGAAGAGAGTTATTTGAATAAATATTTGATTAGCTCTTAATCCACTCATTAAATTTTTTTTATTTCTGAACATATTGCATATTAAAACATTATCGGTTACAAATTAAATTGAGCGATGAACTCGTATGTATTGAAAAGGAAAAGGATATATTAGGCCATCATCCATCATAAAGCTCAACATTCCATGAAAACAGAAACGTTTTTATTTCAGGTAATATCATAACAGCTAGCATGCAACTTAAAAAGGATAAAAGTGATCATATGTCACTTGCTACAAGATTCATCACCTTTTATGGTACAGTGCTTCGTAACCAAAAAAGAAAACGTTACAAAATGCTTGAGATTTATTTAAAGTAAATTGCATGCCACCGACCTTACACACAAAAAAAGAAGAAAAAAAAGTAGAAAAGAGAGGATAAAGGCAGCATGCATCCCGAGCACCTTCTAAACATAGGAACGGTGGTGGAGAAGATGTGATTAAGCAGCAGAAACTTTGAATGCGTCCAAGCGGGTGGCATCTGGAAGTCTTTGTTTCCACATTGTAGTGTAGAATTCTTCGTAGGTGTAATCTTTATAAATCAATGGATGATCATCATCGATCAATTCCTTTGGAGGCCCCATTTGAGTATCATTTGATGGATAGCAATATGAAGCGATGGATAAACGTTCTTTCTCAGAATTGACAATAACTCGATGGAGCAAACTCTTGTATCGGCAATTGCTAAGCCCCTGATAAGAAAAATTAAGATAAAAAATTTGCTATAAAGTCCGTCACATGTTTTATAGCATGCAAGCCAAACCGGTGATTTTTCATGTTTCTTTTTGCCTTGAATGAATAATTCTAAAAGAAAGTAGATATAAAGAGAGTAAATGACCTGAAGCACGTCACCAACATGGACAATCAAGGTGTTAGGAATAGGCTTGACAGGTACCCAGTCACCATTTTGTAGAATTTCAAGCCCAGGCACCTCATCTGGCTGTAGCATGGTGAGTATAGTGGGGTCAGTGTGACCACGCAGTCCAAAAGTGAGCCCAAGATTTGACTTTTCACACGTCGGATAGTAGTTTAGAGAAGCGTATTGTCCATGGTTGTCCAATATCTGGTCTATAGATTTCCTTTCCATGCCTAAGCCCTCGAATACAGCCTCAAGTAGTGTTATCTCTGCCCTTTTAGCAGCTACACAATACTCGGATACGACCTCCCTGTAAACAATAAAATATTATAACTTAGTAATAGCTGAAAAAAGCTACTAAATTAGTCCGTCCAGATTTAAAAACACCAAATTGAATTCTTGTTTAATCTTTCCATGAAATATTACCTGTAGGATGGAGGATTTGTAGGCCATAGATTCACATAATTTTCAATAGGATGACAATGAAATTTCAACGATTCCCTCGAGACGAAGACATTCTGATTATCGTCCTTAAAGCCAGTAGCAAGCCTGATAAGGCTGGTAGGGTCAGGAGAGTATAATTTCATCCTTTCTTCTTCTGGCAGATGGAAGAACTCTCTTGCTTTGCTCATTATGTCATTCAACAATCTCTCTGAAATGCCATGGTTCTTCAGCTGATAATACGACACATTAATTATTAGAACACAAAGTTATTTACACTTCACAATAATTGGTCATAGCTAAAGATGTTATAGATGCTCAAAGAAAGAGGTACCATTGTACCAAAGATGAATGAAAAAAATATTCGATGACACTTCGTCGGTGCCTTTGATTGAACCGAAGACATTGAATTAAGTTAAAATACATTTTCTCAGTGACGTTTTCTACAATAATTTTGATGGTTTCCACATGCAATACACACATACATGTAAGCATAGCTAGGTAACTACCATAAAGCCACCATAGTGTTGGCATGCATGGCCAAGCTGTTTGATGGTGTCAGAGCGGCGAGGACCATGAAGGCCTCCCAGGTCGATGATGGGGAGGGTACCCTCCCAGATCTCAAGCCCATAGATATCAGTTTGAACATTGGAAATGGGAATGGTGTTGGTTAGTAGAGTATTTTTGCCCCCTGCGGGTAATGCAAGGTGATCATCGGCTACTACTGCCTTTGTGGGAGCCATGACTATAATTTGAAATGCAGGGAAATTCTGTGGATATGTGGCTAGTGAGTGTGATGAAGAGAATCTGTATGCATACCCCTATTTATAGGAGGAAGCAACCATCGAGGGGGCTCCAGTTTTGCTGGCCCCCAACTTGGAGGTGCCAGTCCAAGTGAATTGTCATTATATCCACCTTTTGACTTGTCTCTTGGACTCGGAGATAGAAAATTATTTTTGTTGGACTACAATGAATGCCTTGCAGTTGCCGCAATGGAGGATCTCTTCGCCCTTTGATTATTGCTACAGACCTCAGCGCCGCCCGGTCATTCAGGTAAGAGTTGATCATGAAGATTAAACCGGATAAATTCAATTGATCTGTGAATGAAAACCTTAATGAAATCTAGCCTTAATGTGATATAGTAAAC